GATCATTGACTCACCAGATCATTGACTCACCAGATCATTGACTCACCCGGCTGCAGGAAGCTCGAAGCCGAACTTGAAGCTGTAAGTTTTATCAGGCTGTAACAGGAAGTAACCGTCTGAGTCTGAGGACAGACAGACAATGAGGTGAGACATGTATACATATATATATAAATATATGAATACATATATAATATATATATAAAACAGTAAACTGTTCCTTCATACCGGTAGACAGCTGCTCCTCCAGCCGCACCTCCTCCTCCTCCTTCAGGTACTCCTCCTCCTGACTCCTGCTGCTCCGGTTCTTCCCTCCGCGGTGCTCCACGTGGGCGCAGCCGGCTATGGAGACCCTGAGGCCGGTCACTCTGTGAGGCTGAGCCGCCTCCAGCCTCACGGAGCCGGACAGCTTGTCTCCTCCGCAGTAGAAGGAGCGTCCGGGGTCCGAGAAGACCAGCACGAAGACCTTGATCTGGTTCACGGGAGACCGAACCATGGCGAGACACCGGGAGATTAAAAACGTGTTTTAACTTAATTTGTTAGTAGCTATCAGGGTTTATGAGCGGTTAGTTTTTCTGTGTCAGTAAACAGCTCGAGGTCGGTTTTATACCGGAGGATGTCCCCGGTGTCCGGTGTCCCGTTACCGGGAACCGAGCACCAGCGCGTGGACACCTCAAGGCCGCTGGAGGCCGGAGCTCTCCGATTGGTGCATTCGGGCTGTTGTTGGTGAGTGCAGCCAATCAGAGCGCAGAGAGGACGCGTGGGCAGCTCGTGCTGGTGGGAGGCGGGGCCTGTAGGGAGGGGGCGGGGCCTGTAGCTGGAAGGCCATAAATAAGAGAGAGTCATGAGTGAGAATAGAAACAGATCTACGCCAGCTGCTGCTGCACAACAATAACAGCAACTGTTCATGGAGAAACATTTATTCATGTGTTTATATTTATAGTATAATATTAAAGTCATTTAAAGACATAAAAAATGTACAGTTATTTAAGTCATTTACAATAATTTACAGTCATTGCAAACTCATTTAAAGTCATTTTAGTCATTTAGAGATTTTAGCTCCAATTTGTTCCAATGTTTTCATCAGTCACACATTTAAAGTTCTGTACATTCCTCATTATTTCTTAGGTAGTTATATCTATCTGTAGTTACTGACCAGCAGCTCACCTTGTTTACCTGCTGGGTAAAAACAGGAAGATCTACTTCTTCTTTCTTGAGCCTAAAACACATCAGTACAGGACACTAATGTTAGCATGTCCAGCTAACTAGCTACAATAGCATTGGGAGGGACTAAACTGACTAGCTGTGGGAAGACCCGCCCCCTTCTCTGCCTCTGATTGGCTATACCCTTTCCAGGCATCTGCTAACGTTAGCTATGATGCTAAGCTAGGCTTCCTGGTCCGAAGACACCAACTGAGGATTTTTTTAAATTATTGGCAGTTTTCACCGTTCACGTTTTTTAATTGATGCTTTAAAGAAAATTACATTTTTACAGCCTTAAGTATATTTTATGGAAGAACATTACCACCACTGTGAGGACAAAATAAAGACCCTGTAAGTCATAATGACTTAATATCTCATAAAAATATCACATATAATTCTGAAATGTATTTTTAATCTTCAGTGGACAACAGAAGACAAAATGTCATGTTTCGGGACATTACGGACGCTGTGTCTTTATTATGAGTAATAATAAAAAATAAATAAACAAACAAACAAACTTCCTTAAGCAGATAAAGCTTTTATAAAACAAAGAAAGAAAGAAAATTGAGTAAAAAGTGTCAACAGTTGATTATTATTCTTTTAATACATATTTTCCATCAAAATTAATCAAGTCTAATTAAAAACGTTTGATCGATGCTTTTATTATTAGTTGTTATGTTGGTTCAACAGGTAAAACACCTGAATCTTTAACTCACCCCCCCCATCTAAAGACACTATAAATAAACCCAGAGTGTGTTTGTTCTGTCCAGTCTGTCGACCGCCGTGATCGTCATCTGTTCAACGTCTGATCGAACCTGAGGGCAGAAAAATAGACCTTCAGTAGTCAGTAGAACCACAGTAGAGTAAGAGTAGAACTACAGTAGAGTAAGAGTAGAGTAAGAGTAGAACCACAGTAGAGTAAGAGTAGAGTAAGAGTAGAACTACAGTAGAGTAAGAGTAGAACTACAGTAGAGTAAGAGTAGAACTACAGTAGAGTAAGAGTAGAACTACAATAGAGTACCAGTAGAGTGTTCTTACTGGTGTATTGCGTCTGGGATCTGTAGTCTTTCTGTTGGGATGAACTGAGACAACTCATGTAGACTTCTGATGAACCGGATCTTAGTGCTGAACTTCTCACTGTGGACAGACAGACAGACAGACAGACAGACAGACAGACAGACAGACAGACAGACAGACAGACAGGTGTTTACCATAAACACCAACATGATTGAACATAGTATGAGTTATAGCTACCTTGGTATCAGCATAACTGCATCAGGGAGTTTCAACATGGCAGTAAATGCACTAAAAGAAAAAGCTCCAAGAGCTCTACACGCAATTAAGAGAACATTTTATAATTAAAAATCCCAATTAAAATCTGGCTTAAAATCTTGAACAGTGTCATCCAGCCCATTGTGCTGTATGGTAGTGAAGTATGGGTCCACTCAGTCATCACAGTTATACCCGCTGGACAAACATCAACAGAGTCTCTACATGCAGAATTCTGCAGACACATTTTACACAGAAACACCCCAACAAATGCATGTAGAGCAGAACTAGATACCCACTGATCATTAACATTCAAAAGAGAGCACTCACATTCTTCAATCACCTTAAATCCAGCCCCCCAGACACCCTCCACTCCAAAGCCCTCCAAACCCAAGACCTGAGCCCAGAGAAGAGTCCCCTATGTCAGCTGGTGCTGAGACTAGCTGCCTCCTCTCAGACACACGGGGACCAGTCTCTCAACAACACGGCTCTCCAAACACCAACCAGAGTAAAACACATCATGGCGAGATGTAAAGAAGCCTATCTGGAGCACTGGAGAGAGGAAACTGGGGGCCAAAGCAGACTGGAATGTGATCTGGCCCTAGAGAGAGACTATGAATTGGCAGAGTACCTCTCTACAGTCAGAGACATGAAGCAGAGACAGAACCTCACCAAGTACAGGCTCAGTGACCACAAACTGGAGATTGAACCAGGACGACACAAAAAGTCATGGCAACCAAGAGAGAACAGAACATGTGGTCACTGTGGGACCGGTGAGGCTGAGACGGAGATGCACTTCCTCCTAAAATGCAAAACATTCCATAAAATTAGGAACATCTACCTCAACAAATTTGACTCTGTGATTTGAGATTTTAAAAAATGGAGTGATATTTCAAAATGAAAAGTCCTCCTAGGAGAAGGAGAGAGGAGACCTTGCTGCCCAGTATGTACTAACATGCCACAACCTGAGGGACAGCAGGTGACGCTTTGGCGATGCCGTTCCTGGGCGTTCATGCCAATGGAGCAGATCTGAGTTTGGGTTGAATTGGGAGAGAGACGGAGAGAGAGAGAGATCTATCTATCCGTGGATCTCTCTCTCACTTCGCTCCTCCCTTTGCTTCGGTGTCAGAGAGCTGCGGTGGCCTACAGGTAACGTGGGAGCAATGGGGGCTCTGTCTCACACCACTTTATGAGATGTTGTATTAATATTATTGTTATATTGATATTGTTGTGAATTGATGTTATTGTATGTTTCATTTTTTGATGCTTTGGCAATACTGTTTCTAAACTTTCATGCCAATAAAGCAAATTTGAATTTGAGACAGACAGACAGACAGAGACTCATTTAGCTGGTTGCTAACACATTAGCTAATAGTAGCTGCTGATGTTATTGATTGATGTTGATGTTATTCAGCACACTGTATATTATCCATCGGGCTTAATAATATTATTAACTAGAAAATTCCTAAATAAATTTTGACAGTGTGGCTTCTACTGCCCGAAGAAGTCGCAATATATACACACGCCAATGTTACCGGTAGTGTCGTTCAGGTTCAATTGAGATAACGCTACTCTCTTTTCTGCATTTTAGATTCATACTCTTGGATTGAATCTTGTATTTGTCCGGCTTTTATTTTGAAAGGGTGGGACTGGGTGGGTGAGAGAGGGGGAGAGGAGACATCATAATGTTTGACACTAAAATGAGAGGCGTCATCACAAGCATTCCAGTTAGAATTCATTCTGTGGGGCTTTTAATTTGAAATGGGGGGAGCGGGGGTGAGAGGGGAAAAGTCCTCTAAAAATATCTAAGACCTGAATGACTGTATGATAGAGAGAGACACAGAGAGGAGAGAGAGAGACTGAGTGAGTGAGAGAGACAGGCAGACAGACAGACAGACAGTTAGATGGACTGAGTGAGTGGGAGAGTGAGACAGGCAGACAGACAGGAGGTTTAACAATGACCCAAAAAACGGAGCAAAATTTCTCCATTCACTTGAATGGGGTTTCGGCGTGAAGAGAGCTAAAAAAAACACTTAACATTGGCCCCTTATTGACTAGCCGTACATTAACGTAGAAACATGATTCAAAGTTTAAAACGTAGACAAAACGCTGGATGTTATTGAGCCAAATGGACATTTTGATAGCTAGCACAGTTTTCATGAAGTCACAGATTAAGTTTCAGGAACATTTTGGGTCTGTTTCAGATTTTATAATGGGTGTGTATTGCACGGCTCGTTAAGAGCTAGAGTGAGAGCATAACTGTCAGAGTGGAGCGGAGCAGGAAAATATTCTGTGATTTTTCCAAACAAATTGCTCCAGCTCCCACATTGTTTACTCTTTATTCACCATTTTGGCCAAAAAGCTTGGAAATGTTGTGCTGGTCGCAGTAAAGTGTCTGTGGAATCCAACGGACTTACACATCTGGCTCAAAGAGCCACAGAGCGACATGAACTCCAACCAACTGCTCCATTAGACTCCATGTTAAATCTCACCACTCATTTCTCAAAGACAGCAGACGGTACCAGTTTTGTCTATTGCTCTGGAGCTCACATTATTAACACCACAAACATAAAAAACACATCAGCGCGTTTGCCAGAGTCTTATCTTTCTCACGGTATCCATATTTTGGCACTCAGACTCCTGCTAATTTGTTAAAAAGAGGCACGGGTTTTGTTCAAAATCACTGATTACTGTAATGTTCCTTAATCAGTCTGCCTCTAACACCAGGTGCGTTCTCTCTCTCTCTCTCTCTCTCTCTCTCTCTCTCTCTCTCTCTCTCT